CATGCACCAGCCGCGGGAGATAAAAATATTCAGGGTGAAACATCCTGGGGCGCAGGGAGCTATATTTGAACCGATCGTATCTGCGCGTTTATCCGAGTGGTTTTGATTGCTGCTCTATTGAGTCCATGCAGCCAAAACAACTGCAGCTCCTCTTTGGCAAGGTGGTGCAGCACTGCTCTGCCCGCTGCTCACTTGCACCCGGGCTACACCCCAACTGGTCTGTCCCGCTGCCCCGGGACTGCCCATTTTAGCCAGGGCAGGAGTCTGGTGTGTGCCCCCAAGCCATGCTGCCTTTGCAGCGCTCTGGCAGTGAAGCTCTGGAGATACCAAGGTCAGAGCATGGAGTCCTCATGGACCCGGGCCTTTTGCAGAAGCTAGGCAGCTCCAGGAGTCTGCTCCTTTTGCCGTGGGGCCAGGGAGGCAGGAACTGGCCACATGGGGCCAAAGGGACTCAGCCTTGCATATTTGCTGCAGGATGGGAGCCAGCCCTTGCCCCAGCGAGACACAGGGACCACCCCTACTCCTGCCCCATCACCCCTGGTGTCCCTCCTGCGTCCCTGCCCTGTGAAAGCCATCCTGTCCTCCACGTGGTGTGTGAGGGAGGCACTGAGCCGCACTGCCCCGCTGCCTGTCCCTCTCGGAGCTGGAACCACCTTGCCAGGCCCACGACATCCCCCTGTGCTCTCCTCTCCTCCACCTCAGCCTTCTCCAAGAGTAATGGCGATATGGGCTATGCTGTGGAGGGGAACTCTCCCGTGTCTTGTACACATGTCAACGCACTCATGGAAGGAAAATCCACCTACTAAATCCAGAGACGCTGAGCAGCAAAATGCTGAAGCCTGGGGAAGGGCTCCATGCTGCCTCAGTCCTTACACAGAGCAGCATCAGGCATCAAGACAGGCTCCCAGGGACCACGCACGGGTATCCCGAGGTTGCCCCAAGGAGTCATCTCTGCAGCAGGCAGGGACACCCAGGGACAAAATCCGGCCCTTGGCTGCCGGGCTGGCCGCCAGGGTGGCCCCCGCGGTGCTGAGCCCTCTCCCGGCACGCACGCCGCGCTCCCGTCGCCTGCGCTTTCCCTTGCCGGTGCGAGCACCTTGCCTTGCCAATAAAAGCTGCTGGCTGTGCCTCCGTTCGTGCGCGGCCGGTACTCTCCCTTGCAGCTCTGCCCAAGCCCAGGCAGCTGCTCAGAAGTGAACTCTTGCCAAAAACTGCATGTGTGAAAGCGTCGTTTCCTAAACGTATAAATATTCCCAGGGCTTTGCTGGAAAACTCCCCGTGCTTAGTTAAAACACCCTGGACAGCAGAGCGAACACAAGTCCGGCGAGAGGGCATGTTTAAACAGAGACGGTCCAAGCAGCGCGGGAGCAACCGCGCACAGTGCTGGGCGTGCGACTGGCAGGTCCGCTCCTCTCCATGAGGGATGCTACAAAGCTTTGGGAAGCGGAGGCTTTCCAAGGTGTCGTGCATCCAGCCAGCCCTGCCACACCAGCACAGCTGCCTTCCAGCCAGGAGGCACTTACTGATGTTGTCATTAAACATCCACAATTTGAGGCTCTGTTTTATAGAGGGAAAAGACAGAAGGACTATCAGATCTCTCCATCTGACCTCTTGGCCAAGAGTGTTTAACCACACACCCCGATACCGAGCCCAGCAACTTGGTTTTCTTCCAAGCAGGCTCCCAGCCCACTTTTGGAGACATCAAGGGATGGAGACTCAACCACTGCCCTTGGGAGCATGTCCCAGTAGCTAATTGTCCTTGGTAGAAAACCATGTGCCTTTTTTCTAGTTTGAATTTGTCTGGGTCTGGCTCCAGCTCCCAATCACTGGCTCATGTTCTACTGCTCTCTGCTAGATTAAAGAGAGCCCTTCAGTAACCAGCATTTTCTCCTTGTAAAGACCCTCACGCACTGTAATCAAGGCATCTCTCAATTTTCTTTCTGATAAGCTCAACGGAGCTCTTCTCTTCCAAGTCTCTCAAAGCCAGGCTCTCTCTCCAGCCCGCAATTCATTCCTGCAACCCTGCTCTGATTGTCCAGCCTCTTTTTTGAAACCCAGATACTGTAGTTGGCTGCAGCGCTCTCAGCTCCTCATGGCATGAACTGGGGACCCCCTGCCCCTCCATTCCACGCTTGTGCCTTCAGCAAGATGATAAGTGAGCTGGAATGTCCCAGCTGAGCCCAGGCACTACCAACACTGCCCCACATGACACCAAGCACCAAAACAGTGGCAAAGGTGAGCATGATCCCCATCTTCCCGTTCCTTGTCCAGTGCCCCAAAATGCTGCTCCCGGCCACTGCCAGGATGGACACATGGACCAGGCAGACCAGGACCTCCCTCCACACAGTCATTCAGACTCTCTTCCTCACGAAAGCCCATCTCTTTCACCCAAATACTGCCAACGTTGCACCTAGGGATCTGAGACCAAAACATTTCTGCTTGCAGGAGACCTAACTCTGCTTGCTGCAGGTGAGGAACAGGATGGCTGGCAACACAGAGCCCCAGGGCTCATGAATCAAAGTTCAGGGCAGTGTGTTCATTTGCAAGAGACATGTTTTCACGTATGGACACACAGCCGTGGAGGCCACAGACTCCCCACGCTTTGTCTCCAAAACCCTGGATAGACACAGGCCAGGCCGACCCAGGAGGCCAGGCCAGCACAACCGCGCTCCACGCAGCCGAAGGGCTAGCTGGCACACATCGTGCTGCTGAGGAGCAAACCTGGCTCTCCAGGCTCTGCCCCCATGGCACCAACCACATTCCCGACTTTTAAGTCTCTACCCAGTGAATGCTCCGCCAGTCCTTTTGTCAGGGCTTTGCACTGGACTTTGCACCACCAAACCCCTTCACCCACACCCCAGGCATCCCACATCAGCTCTTGGAGGACACTCGGGCTCGAACCTGATGTGCATCTCTAGCAGATGTTGCTCAGCAGTCCCTGGGACAAAGACATATTTCATCACACCCCGATGCTGGCACTTTTGCCTGCATCCTTCCAGCAACAGCACAGAAACATTTATTGAGCACTTCTGCCATGTCTACTTCAGTATCAATCATTTTGCCACCTCCATCCTCTAATAGGCTTATCCCACTGCTAGGAGTTTGGGGTTTCTTTCTTAATACACTAAATAAAACCCTTTGCTTCTGTGCTTAGCCCTGCTAGTCATGATTTTTCCCTGATGCTTTTAGCTTCTGTTATCCATTTTCTACACTTCATAATTTCTAATTTATATTGATTGCTATCTACTCCCGCTTTCCCATTTGTTATAAACTGCTCTTTTATTTCTAATTGCTGCCTTCACTCCACCGCTGAACCAGAACGGGCTTTCGGCCAGAGCTGCCCTCTTTCTTGATTGTAGAATTGTGGCTTTTTGTGGCTTCTGAAATTCTTCTGAAAGAGCTCACAATTTTCATTCACATTTTTCTATCTAAATGTTTCCTCCTAGCTGATTTCACTCATAATTTCCCCCTGCTTTGGGAAATTAGCCCTTTCAAAGCATGAAGGATATAAATTACTCTTTAGGAATGTCCTTCCTTTGCCCAGGGTGAATGTAATCTGGTCATGATCATCGGTCCCTAGGCAACCTCCAAGTTTCAGTCCAGCAATGAATTCATCTCTATCCATCATAACCAGAGGGAAACGAAAGTTGCCTGTGGTGCATGCAATATCTTTCATGTAAAAGAGGAACTGCCTCTAATTTTCAGAAGCTGCAGATGGTTCATTGCTGGCTGTGCAAGACCATTAGCATGTCTCGCAAAGCAACGTCCTGTCCAAGCAAGATCTTTTTTTGCTGCACGATGCCATGTACTCCCTGCATTCTGACTCCCTGGTCTCTAGCAGACACTGCTGCTCCCTGGTCATGGACTTTCACAGCTTGCGCAGAAACCCTCAGAAGCATTTTCAAATCTTGCTTCCTTGCATCAGTGAGCATCAACTGTTTCTGATGTTCCCTCATTGCATTGAATCATTTCAGTGTTTCTGTGATGGTTTCCAGCAATGAGGAAGGAGCAAGAAAAGACTTGCTCCTTTGAATCCCAATTGCTCTCAAGCCCATCTGCTTGGAAGAGCCAAGCACCACTGAGGTGAGAGGCAAGGGCACAACACAAACAACAGGATGAAAACCACACATCCCCATGACAAGCCATGGCAAAGTCACTGTTAAAGGCAGCAGAAGAACCAAAGAGAAGTAGCTGACCGAGCACAGTCAAGTTCTCCCTGACGGTACTTTAGGCACCCAGCAAGTGCAGGAAGCAGCCAAGAACACCCCAGTGCCTCCACGTTCCCGCAGAGCCCTGCAGACCAGGCACGAGAACACAAATGTGGGTCACAGCAGAGAGCACTAACCCTCTCCAGCCGACTCTGGCCATCTCCACCAGGGCCCACTGTCCACAGCCCCATATGCGAGTACTGGCCAACCCTGTCTGGCCCTGTCCAGGGTGCCATACACCAGGGGCTGGTGGTGCAGGCTATCCAGGACGCCTTTGCCAAAAGAAGGAGACTTTGCACCTGCCCTTACCTTGGCCATGAAGTTCTGCAGGAAAGTCACCTCCTGGAAGGGCTCCGTCCGCAGGCGGTCTGCAAGGGAGAGCAGGGATCAGCCCAGGCAGGTCTGGCCAGACCCCACCCCATCTGTCCATGGGGAAAAGCGACTGCAGGGACCAGGGGAACAGCTCCAACATGCTGGAGCCAGCCTGCATTCCCATATTGTAGGACAGGGACAACTCCCTATTCTATCTCATTCCGATGGGTCCCTCATTCAAAACCCTTATTTCCCCAGGACTGCAAAGGCATTTAAGAAGCACATGTCCAGGATGTGCTTCCCTATGCCAGGATGCTCAGGCAAGGGGAAAGACAGGACTCCTGTCCACACCAGGACCCAACACCAGTCCCAAATTCCAAAGCAGGACTCTCCTTGCTGCCCTGGCCCTGCAGAGCCACAGGACAGAGGGCAGTCCAGGTGGCTCAGGCACCTTTTGGTGCAGCTGCAGAGGGGATCCAGGCTCCCATCTCACCCATGCTGGCAGAAGTGGGCTGGGGGGCACAAGGCCCCTGGAAAGGCAGGTATCACCCCCTCAAGCTGAGCTGAAGCCTGCGCCTTCTGGCTCTCCCTCCTGGATGCTGACGAGCCCCTCTGCATGATTACTCCAAACAGGGCCTCATCCACATCCCCAACGCCCACCCAAGGGCACTCACACCCCTCCAGCCCCAACCAGAGCCAACACAGGCTCCCGGCTGGATGCAGCCCTGTGCAAACAGCTGCACTTCCAGCAGCAAAGACCAGGAGCCGTGCTCGCTTTGCAAGCGCTCCGTGAGCGCCCAGGGAAGGGAACGTGCCGCAGCGCTGGGCCAGCCCTCGCTGGCATCGCCACAGGCTCCTGGGGAGCAGCCAGGTGCTCTCAGCAAAGCGGCGAGCGCCTTGGCGACTCCCCAAGCCCTCCAGCTCCCAGTCCCCGCTGCTCCCACGGGGCGCTCGCTGGCCTGCTGGCGACCGTCTTGCTGCACGTGAAACACGAGCCTCGCTGGGCAAGTGCCAGAGGCAGCAGGGCACGCCAGCCCGCGCAAGGAAGGAAGCGCATTCCCTGCCGGCTCCGCTCGCCTGCCAGCGCTTCCCTGCTCACCTCTGCTCAGAGCAGCCCCGCTCTCCCTGTAGTCATCGATCTCAGCGTCCTTCTGGAGCAGCAGGACCATGAGCTCCTGCAGCTGGGACTGCAGCGCCAGGCTCATCCGCATCAGGGGCCGCACCAGGTGCCGGGAGACCTGCCACGGAGGGAGGACACGCTGAGGAAGGTCTGGAGAGGCACCTGGCTCTCCATAGAGCAAAGACAGGGACGGGGAGAGAGCGATGCTTCAGCCACCATGAGAAACTCAGGGTGCAGAGGAGACAGACAGCCCCTCTGTGCAGCTCCCAGCCCACAGTAGGGCCTCCAGACCCTCCTCACAGTTCTCTGCTCCCCAAACCATGTTCCCATGCAGGCAACAGGCATAGCTGGGGCTGAAACACCTAAACTGGGGCCTAGGGAAACAGCAAGACTTCTCAGGGAGGTGAGACACAAAGTAGAAGAGACCTCTACCCTGAGGGCTCACATGCATCCTGACCACACTCCCCATTGCAGCCCATGACACCTTCTTTAGCTTATGGCCATGCAAGCTCCCTGCAGAGCCCTGAGCACACCTTCCCTGCCCTGGAGCCAGGCAGGACCACCCTGTCCCACCAGGACACCAAATACAGCATCACTCACTCATCCTGGAGGCAGCATGTCCCTGGCACATAGCCCAGGACAAGCCCACAGTGGGGCTCAACACCCCAAAGTGCGAGCGGTAGGCATGGGGGCCCTGCCACACAGCCCCGTGCTGCTGCATGGGCACTCAGGAGGCAGAGCTGGGATGCAGCGAGCGGCCCTGCTTCCAGCTCAGTGCATGCGCCTTGCACTCCGGGCTGACTGCTGAGCAGGGCAAGATCAGACCCTGTTTTTGCATTCGAGGCAGCCACACTCAGCACTTTGCCCCTCCTGGACACCTTGCAGACATTCGCTGCACTTTCAAGCAAAGGGAGAGGAGCAGCTGCTTGCAGAGAGCTCAGGACACCACTTTGCACTGTCTTGGCTCAGACCCTGCAGTTCTTGCCCAGTGACAGAGAGCAAGTCCCAAGAGTGCGCAGAGTCCTGGGGGACCCCGAGCTTGTCTGCACCCCGGTGGTGCAGCAGCAGAAGCACCCAGATGCTCCACGCTGCAGCTGGCTGGCGAGCCCAGCTCTGCTCCTCAGGACTCTCAAGCGCAGAGAGTGCTGGGTCACCTTCCCTAAGAGGGGAGAAGGGCTGTGCAGGGACCCTCCTGTCCCCTTGCAGGCGGCCCCCTCCTTCCCCTGGCACTGGGGACCTGGCAGGAGGGGATGCAGTGGCTCAGAGCAAGCCCTTCCCCACAGGCCCCAGCGCCGCTGCGGCTGCCAGGGCTCCCGTGCAGGCCCCAAGCCAGCTGCGTCCCCTGCTCCCACGTTAGCGGGTGCCGGGCGCCCTCTTGTGCGCACACGGCCGCAGGGCCAGGGTGCTGGGGCGCCCGCCCATGTCCTGCTCCCCAGAGCCACCCTGCGCCTGCAGAGCCCCCACGGCTGCCCTCGGGGACTGCTGCTGCCCTCGGGGACAGGCTCACCGCAGAGCCACCCCAGAGAGAGGGGGGTCGCACTGCTTTAGGCTCACAGCAAGGCCATGCAAGGAACAGGATGCTGCAAGCCTGACACCTTTCGTGAGTTTGCAGGGAAATCCAATGTCTGAGCTTGGTTTTTGCAAGGTTTAAACTATTCACTTATTGGAGTTAAGTGGGATATACCCCAGATGTAGCCCGCTTTTTTCCTGCTGCATCCTTCTTCCGTTGGGTCAGTGGGGATGAGCTGCTGTCTGCAAGAGGTGCCGGCCTGGTGAGTCCCTGCTCCAAATCACCTGGCTGTTGCTGGGGGCTCAGCTCTGCAGCATCAGAAACCAGAGCAAAACATCAAAAACCTCCCTGAAACCCCAAATGCCAGATAGGAAAAAAAAAAAAAGACATCAAAGCAGCCCTCAGATAGGAGCAGCTCCCTAAGACCTGGGAGATTCAATCCACTTGAATTCCCTCCTTTGCTGCTGACTCCCTATGAATCTTTTTGCGGTGAGGGTCACTCGTGGTCCATTCCCCAACACCTGTCACAGGAGAACAGCGCCCTTAGCTGTGTCGGAGGTTGGCAGGGAGGTACACAGAGGGTAAAATCCCCAAATGGGCAGCCTCTCCCTGCAAGGACCATGTGTTCTGTCATCCCTGCCACCCTGCAAGACCCCCACTGGCACACTCCTGCCAGAGGAGCTGAAGTGTCAAAGGAAAGAAACGGGGCTGGTGAACCTCAGCATGGGCAGCAGGCAGAGCCAGGCACCCTGTTGCAATCAGCACAACTCCAAACTTCCCCAAAGCCTCCAAGCATCAGGTGATGGCCATTAGCTTCAGCCCGTCCTCTCCCCAAACTCGCCAGGCACCCTGGCACGTGGCTCACCATCTCCACAGGCGCAGAGGAGCAGTGGAAGTCCCAGTAGAAGGGCAGTCCCGAGAGCTCACTCTTCACATGAACACTGAGCCTGCCAGGCGTGAGGTGGCAAGAGAAGGAGGTGGCGGCGTCCGGCTGCCCTGCCAGCAAGGGGGACATGAGGCTGCTCAGGCGGTGCAGGAAGGAGGACACGTGGGCTGTGAGCCGCTTGTTCAGCTCCTGGTGAAAGGCAAGGTTAGGAGAGCAGCCTGACGCTGGAGACCTCAGCACTCAAAAAAAGCCAGCAGAAAGACCAGCACACAAGGATCAAAACCACTTCCATGTGTCCTAGGGCAGCAGAAAGCATCCCTGCGCCTTGCCATGGAAATGCCCCAGCAGTTTTCCCAGGAACGCCAAGCTAGAAAGGTTTCCCAGTCCCCAGCAGCAGGGTCTGGGCCAGAGAATAGTCCAGTGTGTTTCTGGAGCTGTGTAGACAGGACAGTGCTGTGGCTGTTAAAGTGAGCGGGAGTCTCTCCATCACTACCAGGACCTGGTTTCAACCTGCTGCTTAACGTGCTGGCTCTGGGGCCAGCAGCTTCGCACCCTGCCCACAAGTGGAACGAGCCCGCTGGCCTCAGCGTGCAGTCCCAGCAAAGAGGGGCCATGCTGAACAGCCTCCCCACCCTCTGGGGAGGAGGCTGCACAGAGCACCAGGGAGGCAGCGCATGGGCACAGCTGCACAAGGACTTCCCAGACCCGGTGGCCGTTGTGCTGCCAGCCAGCTCATGCTGCGTCGTAGCCGGCGTGCACGGGAAAGGAGGTCCCTTGCCAGCCACTTACCTTGGACCTTTGCCCCACAGCCTGCGTGTCCGCGCTCTCGTACCAGACGCTGCTGAGGTCGGAGATCAGCAGGACGTAGCCCGAGTCCCTGAAGCAAGCCTTGGCGATAAAAGCAGACTCGCCAAAGCAAACAGAAGCCCAGGGCTGCGTCAGGAGGCTGTTCTCCAGCTCCTCAGAGCCCTCCATCTGCAAGACAGCAAACAGGGCTCAGCTTCACCCCCAGGCTGGGGGTGGCCTCCCGGGGCCCCCGCTCCCGCCAGCCCCTCTGCAGTGCGAGGAGGGAAGGATGCTCCGCTAGCTCCAGGTCACGCATGTCCCTTAACACGCGTGCAGCTCTGCAGGGCCAGAGGTTTGTGGGAGCGACGCGCAGGGCAGGTTCTACCCTATCTCAAAAGCCCAAAGGGCACACACGGGCCCCCAAGGGCCCCCAATGCCCAAGGGCACACACGGAGGTACCTGCAATGCAACAGCAGGAACCTGTGCCTGGGGCGAGCAGCACGGTCAGACCCCTGCGTGCAAAGCGGCGTTTCAGCTCCCCAG